GACTCAAACTGCGGTCGACTACATGGGAGTCCAGTGACATAGCCATTACACCAACTGCTGGTCCCTTTATTCCAATTTTCCATCTCACTGGGATCTTAGATACATGTGCATGCACCTGATGTGCATATTCATGCTGAGGGAGTTGGGACTCAAACCACGGTCAGCCGTGTGGGATCCAGCTTTCTCAGTGCAATTTCCAACCACTGTACTACAGGCCCTGCCCCTCCACTAATTGTTAATTAAAAGGGAAAACCAGTAACTTTACAGTGAAGAAACTTTAACTAAGTGATCAAAATGAACAACACGGGCAGAAACCAGTATTGTGAGCTTCTCGAAAGGCTCACCAAGACAGACATGTCACCTCCAAATTACTCTTATCAAAAAAGTAGAACTCCGGAACCAGCAGTTAGCGCGTAATGGCTATGTCGCTGGACTCCCACATAGTCGATCATGGCTTGAGTCCTGGACCCAGCGGCTTAAACTCACGCCAGGCACGTGTGAGTGCATGCCCAAGATCCCAAGAGAAGAATGGAGGAGAATGGAGGAGAAGGGATTACGGCGTGGCCATCCCCCCAGGGGGTGATTTCTCACTTTCTGTCTCTCTCTGTCTTTCTGGCGAGCGCACGAGCCCTATAGCGAAAACCTCCCCCAAAAAAGAAAAAAGGTAGAACCCAAAGGTAATCACTAGAAAACATCACACACACCCAAACCGAGAGACAGTCTATATATAAAATAATTGGCCTGTTAGTGTCAAAGATGCCCAAGTCATTGAAGATAGAAAAAGGCTGAGGAGGGAGGGGAGGGTACCAGCAGATGGTATAATGGTTACATCACTAGACTCCCACGTAATCGACTGCAGTTCTAGTCCCAGACCCAGCACCTTAAAACTCACACCAGGTGCCTGTGCATGCGTGCCCAAAATCCCAAGAGGAAAATGGAGAAGGGGTTGTGGTGTGGCCATTCCCCAAGGGGGTGATTTCTCACTTTCTGTCTCTGTCTCTCTGGCAAGTGCCTATTGCAAAAATCTCTTAAAAAAAAAAAAAGAAGGAAGGAAGGGAGGAAGAAAGAGAGAGAGAAAGAAAGAAAGAGAAAAAGAAAAAGAAAAAGAAAAAGAAAAAGAGAAAAGAAAAGAAAAGAAAAGAAAAGAAAAAGAGAAAAGAAAAGAAAAGAAAAGAAAAGAAAAGAAAAGAAAAGAAAAGAAAAGAAAAGAAAAGAAAAGAAAAAGGCTGAGGAGGAACCAGCAGATGGTGTTATGGTTACGTTACTAGACTCACGTAGACTACTGTGGTTCAAGTCCTGGATCTGGCGGCTTAAAATTCACGCCAGATGTGTGTGTGTATGCTTGCCCAAAATCCCAAGAGGAGAATGGAGAAGGGATTGCAGCATGGCCATCCCTCCTTCCCTGGTAGGGGGATGATTTCTCACTTTCTGTCTCTGCAGCAAGCCCATATGCGCTATACCAAAAACTCTCTCTAAAAAAAAAAAAGAAAGAAAAGAAAAAGATCACAGGAGGCTAAGAATGCATTGTATTTTAATCCTAGACTTAAAAAAAAAAAAGTCTATTGCCTCTTCCAGAGAAAGAGAGAGACCCACCCCCAGCAGGGTCCTCACACTGTAATCAGCCGTCAGCCTCCGCTAGCTAGGATCACAGGCACGTGCTTACCCGGCTTGTACAGGGAGGCCCCAGGACATGAACTCAGGACCTTCAGGAGGCTAAGAATGCATTGTATTTTAATCCTAGACTTAAAAAAAAAAAAGTCTATTGCCTCTTCCAGAGAAAGAGAGAGACCCACCCCCAGCAGGGTCCTCACACTGTAATCAGCCGTCAGCCTCCGCTAGCTAGGATCACAGGCACGTGCTTACCCGGCTTGTACAGGGAGGCCCCAGGACATGAACTCAGGACCTTCCCATGTAGGTCCATTTACATTACTGCTATATTACTACCAGGCCTCTGATTCTAGACTTGATCCTAGGAAAGACACGACTGGGAGTAAGCCAAACCTGAAAAGGAATTACAGATGAGATGATGGTATTGTTTCAATAATAAATTTCCTGATTCGGATAAAGAAACTGAGGATACATAAGAGGAAGTCCTTGCTGGCATTTTTTTTTAAATGAAAAAATAAGTCACGTACCTGGCCTTCTTCCGGAGCAACTTCTGAGATTCGGGGTAATGCACCAGAATTTCATTGAGGTCCTTCTTATCCAGAATGAAGAGGTTGGTGAAGCCGTGGGCCACCACGTTGGCTGTGCGCCGGTTCCCACCCCCCACAGCCAGCAAGCTGAGTGGAGAAGGGAGGGAGGTGAGACCCTTCACAGGCTGCATCTCAGTCACATCCAGCTCTTCTATGTGGCTGAGCCCACACCTTCCCTGCGCCTGTCAGCAGATGCCAGTGCTGCAGCTGCCACTGTGTCCTCAGACCCACCAGTGGCCACCCCTCCCCCAGCTCTGCTCTGGGCCCCTCACGCAGCCCCTCGTCTCCCTGTTTCCCCTCTGACCTTATTTCTCCAAACACAGATCCAGCTTTCAGCATCACCAGCACAGACTTCCCGTCAGGGCCACCCAGCACCTGCACCTGCCCTGCCTGGATGATGTACATCTCACGGCCAATCTCCCCCTGAAACAGAAGGGGGGAGTACCTCTGCCCATCCCCAAAGAGACCAGAGACTCATCCGGGGCTGGGCCCAGAGGTTGGTAACCCAGCAAGGAAACATGTGATCTGGGATCCAGCCCCGCCTCTGACATGGTATGTGCACTCTCAGGCCTCAGCGGTCTCCTTGGCTGCCGGGAGGTGAGCACTTCTTGCCCTGCCTAATGGACAGGGTCGTGGTGGGCTTAGTGGGTCGTGGACCAGAAAGTGCTGGCTACTGGGGAGGTCCAGGTGGGATGAATCCTGCACATTCCCAGTGGTACCCACCAACGGAGGCAAGGCAAATGGGCTCCGTAAGCAGAGGCGTGCCCAGCTGAAATAAAAACCATGGCAACAACAACAGCAAAGCCCAACACCACCATGCGATTCACTATGCCACACCTTGCTCCTCGACGACCCTCAGGGGGAGGGACCCTTGGCCCAAGGCCACCAAGACAGGATGAAGTAGAGCTGGAACCAGACAGTCTGCTTCCAGAGTTTGTGGTTGTTTATGAGCACCCCCATATCCCCAGAACCCCAAAATGTGCCCTTATTTGGGATGCAATTAGTTAAATTAAGATGAATCCATATGGAAGCAGAGCAGGTCCCTGATCTGACATGACTTATGTCCTTATAAAATGGGAAATCTGAACACAGAGACAAACACAGAGGGAAAACGACGTGGAGAGACAGAGATGATGGCTATCTCTAAGTCGAGAAGAGAGGCCATTCAGTTTGTGATATTTGTTACGGCAACTGCTGCATACTAATACAATGGTCCTAATCCCAGCTTAAGCTAAATGAATGAATGAGTGAACAGCTTGCTTTGGCTGCAGCCAGAAACACCCAGTCTGCCTTCCAGTCCTCAGGCCCTCTCGGGCCCCGGCCCTGTTCTGCTACCTGTTGGTCACACCTGATGTGTTTAAAAGACAGGTAACTCAGTGTATCTCACGCAGCAGGACCCTTTTAATAAAAAGGAAGAAAGTTTTGTTTCCCTGGCTCTGTGTTCAATTTGGCACAGAGCTGAAGTGTGAGGGGTCTAAAGCTCTCATACTCACCTCACTTAACTAGTCTTAGGGGGGGGGTACTCCTCCCCCCCTTTAATGGTGTTGGGGGGGGGGGGGGTGTCTCAGAAATTGTTGCAGAGCAAGAGTGAACAGCAGGGGGAGCCGTTCTTACATGTTCACCAACACTCAGTTTAACTTGCACCCACAGACACCCCCCCCACCCCGCACCTCTCACCCTTTCTCACCTAAAGCAAACTGCTACCCACAAAGACAATAGCAGCATCAGTGCATCTACTCTGAGGCAGGTACAGCGCTACTTTATCCAGGAGAAGAGCAGGCCTCACAGAGGGCAAGCCACTTGGCCAAGGCTACCCAGCTAGGAAATGGCTCCAAAGTCAGACAAATCACTCAATGGCCCCCAAAGTCCTCCTGGCCTCTCAGTCTATAGCTTTCAATTCTTAGCCATCTGTAGTATCCTTTCCCTAACTCTTCCCCTGGCTCTTTGTTTCCAGAAACATCTCTGCTCCATGGCGTGCAACCTGAAGACAAGGACTTTCTTGGGGGTGGGAGTTGCCAAGCCTCTGGAGCTTGCTTGGACAGCACTGTCGTCTCTGTACATACACCCAGACTTATTATCAGCTCTGTACAAGAGGATCGGAACCTGGGTTCCCATCCCTCTCTCTCCTCATCCACCACATGACCTCGGTCTCACTTAGGATCCCAAAGACAGGGAGCAAAAAGGGCTCTAGACACCATCGAACCCTGGGGTTCACACCCAGATGTTTTCTGGGAACAAGTGGGTGAGGAAAAGCAGGGGAAGGAGCCTGGTGTGGGCTGTGGAGAGTGGTAGGGCTTGTGGTATCAGGAGAGGGCACGAGTCCCTATGTGAGGGAGCTCCCCTCCTACTCCGGCAGACTCTTGCTGTTTGGGAAAGTGGGATCCAGTGCTAACAGATGTTTCATTTTCATCCAGAGATTTGGAATTTTACGTGAAACCTTCCAATGTTTAAAGGCTGCAGACTAGGACAAGATTAGAAACTAGCTCTCTTCCCCCGAGATTAGAAAACAACACACACATACAAGTCTGCAGGCTGGAACGGATTCAAGGGTGACCAGTTTGCAACCTCCAATGTGGCCCATCCCTCGTCCTGCCCTATTTTTCCCATGGGAGGACTGAGACCCCGGAAGCATTTCCATCTACACTGTCAAGACCTTCTCAGGCTCCTCGCTCTCCTTTCCTGTGAGGTCGAGATCCTTGTCCGGCCCCCATGGTCCTGTGTGCAGGAGCTGCGGCAATGCTTTGCAAAGCCTGAGGCTCACTGCATTCACCTCCCAGAGCTGCACAGACTCCTGACCCCAGGCCACCTGCAAGCACTCAGGTCAGGTCACCAGTGCACTGAGCCAGACCTGCTCCTCCTTCTCAGCAATTCCGCTCTGCCCGGGCCTTGTACACTTCATGGGGCCTTCAGAGATGCCCACTCCAGCCCAGCTCCCTGACTGACGGGGAGCTTGTAAACCCAGATCCCACCATAGCTGCCTCGGCTGACTCACCTTCTTGCACACATAGTCATTGGGCAGGTAGACCACAGAGCGAAGCCTCTTCAGCATGTCGAAGATCATCTGCCGGTCACAGCCCTGCCCCAGAGAGGAGGGAAGGAGCCCCCCAATTAAGAAAGGTTTGTGTGCAGGGTCTCCCAGATCCCTGAAGGTGAGGGCACCTGGCAGGTGTACCTGAAAGAGTGCCACTTTGCTGACAATGTCATAGTTCACATCAATGGCGAGGTCCAGCCGCATCTTGTCTGGAAGTTGCACCATCAGCTCTGACTCATCTGTGAAAGAGACCTGGCAGGGGTCAGAGGCAAGGCCAGACCCCTCCCCGTGCATATACAGGCCAAGTCCCCACTGTGCCAGCTTACCTGGGCACAATTCCTCCACCACATGGAAACACTCTATGTTCAGAGAGGACCCTCTCCCATCTCCAGACCCTTGCCGATACTGTTCCTTCTGCTAGGAACACCCCCATAGATTTCCCTAACTCCTGCTCATGCTTCAGGGCCCAACCCTAATGTCACCTCCTCTGGGAAGCCTTCCCCAACATCCCTGCCTAGCTACCCGGTTAGCAGTCGCTGTGATAATTGTCTGACCTGTCCTCCTCTCACACTGTAAGGACACGAGCAGGAACTACAGCCTGCCGAGCACACTGGCACAGCCTGGTTACAGAGCGCTTTGCAGTGATGACTTGATTATTCTCCAGCACCCCAAGGGGTGACCCTGCGATAGCCCGACTTGCAAACAAGGAAAGGGCAGTGGCTGGTTCAGAGCCGAGCGGGATGAGATCAGCGCACCCGCCCCCCCGAAAAAATCCAGAGCACACAGGCACATCTGCCGTGCCCACCACGGGGTCTCCAGTGCCAATGGGAGAAAGTGGGTAGAAGGACAAGGACAGAGAGGGGCAGTTCCTTCTTTCCTGATTTAAACCGTGTTGCACCTCCAGGCAGGGATCCTGAAGGCATCCAAGAGACAAGCCCCTCAAGTCTCTGGGAGTCTCGCGATGGCCTCTGCAGACCCCACTTGGCCCCTCTCACATAAATGTTGGGCCCATAGCCAAGAGAGGCCCCAGGGCACAGAGCCTCCGAGACATGAAGGACAGGAGAATAGCCTGAAAGGCAGGGTGTCGGGCAGCAAAAATTGGCTGGAGGAAGCTGGTGGCCACCGGGCCACAGCCAGCCTTACCCAGCATGCCTTGCGAGTGCCAGGTGTACTCGTACCAGGTCTTAACACGGTTCTGCACGGACCTCGGGATCTTGTAGAAGTTCATGTACTTCACGGTGCTATCCATGCAGCTGCGATAGTAGGTCTGCCCGGCGGTGGCAGCCCCCACCACGTCTCTCATCTGGGGTGAAAGATTGGGCAGTGTCAGGGAGCCCCTGAGTCACAGTGGGGTTATCGAGTGGGCCCTGGGGTGTCACTTTACACAAAGGAGGGGCACGTGTTCATGGGGTGGGGTGATCAGGAGAGAGGAGGACAGATGTCCACACACAGAAGTTTTTCTTTTTATTTTTTTAAAATTATTTATTATTATTATTATTATTATTATTATTTGCTATAGGACATGTGCACTCACCGGAGAGAGACAGGAAGACAGAGAGAGGGCAAGTGAGAAAGCCGGCCACAAGGTCTGGGACTCAAGCCACAGTCGGGCATGTGGGGGGCCAGCACCTTAACCACCGTGCCACCTGCTGGTGTACTGACAGGGAGTTCTGCCCTCGGCATGGGTGTGGGGAGCAGCAAGCAAGGCCCATAGGTGGCCTCGGTCCCTGCACCCTGCGAGGGAGGAAGGTCCTGGTCCGACTGATGCATACAGTGTGGCACCTCCCAGCACCACAGGGCACTTTGCCTAAGCCCGTGCCACCATACCAGGGCACTGTTTCCAGGGTGGGGCCCTCCAAGGTAAGTCTGAGGACCCCTCCTGCCAGTCCTCTCAGGCACTGAGCAGAGGATAAGGTACTCCCAACGAACACATCTGCAACACCAGGGGTTCCCCCCCAAGGGAACAGCCTGAACCCCCCAGTCTTTGCAGAAAGCTGCAGCCCAGTTTACCCCGACATCCCTAGGGACTGACATTTCAAATGGGAATGTCCTCAGAGGAGTGGGTCCCAGACCCCGTTCCCCCCGCACCCAGCAGGGACCCGTGCTCCGGCTCCCCGCTCTCCATCTGCTTTTTCCTGCCCTTTGCCTGAAGGGAACAGGGGGCATTTCTGGCAGCAGCAGGAAGGAGCTGGCAGGCAGGTGGGGTGGGAAGTCAGGCTGATATCCCGCCTACCTGTCCGATCATCACAGAGAAAGCGAAGACGCCCGTGAAATAGTTCAGCAACTGGAAGACAATTTCAAAGAGCGTCTCAGGGTCGGGCAGCCCACCAATGGTGATGAGGGTCTTCACGGCCCAGTAGTAACAGCGGATGTAACTGGAGAGAGAAGAGGAAGGGACATTGGCCATCACAGGCCCTGCTTTGCCGGCCCCAGTGGTGGCTCAGACACCACAGTAAAGGGGTACTGTACAAAAGAGAAACCCCTTTACAGCTCGTGCGTGCAGGGAACTGCCTCTCACACGTGCAGGGCACGTCGCGGTGTGCAGAGGGGTTCACGAATGCCATCGGGTGTGGTCGTAGTCTCACCCCCAGCCTGCAGGCACATGCTGTGAATTCCATTTTCAGATGGGGCAATGGAGGCTCTGGGAGATTTCTAGGAAGAGTGGGCAGGAGGACAGCTCAGGGCCTGCTGCTCTGATGGCTGGACTTCCTAGTTCCCTGCAGGTCCTTCAGTGTCCACAAGCTTCCCTCCGCTACCCGCTGTTGTGTTGGCTCGTGGAAAGCAAGAGCAATATGAAAGTCAGAAGCTGTGCCGAGGACCACCTTTTCTGACCGCACCACCAATGCACTTTCCAGACAGTGAAACGGAGGCCCGTGAT